GCCGGTGAGATTTGAACAGCCGAACTGCAGAACTAGCAGTCAGCTGAAGTAGCCTGCAGTGCTGCATTTAACCACTGCGCCACCTCGGCTCTAAATATCTGCTTCTAGGCAAACAATCAGACCCTTGCAATGCAGATCAAATGCTTGTGATCTGTTTTGCAGAGCGAGGCCCACATCTGGAATGCAATATGCGTAGCAGCAGCCGGTTCCTGTTTTTGGATGCCTGGCTGGCATGCATGATTTTCCCCATGGAAGCTTTTTCCCGGACATCTAGCGCCCCAACTGTACACACGACACCCCACCCAGACAGGCACCAGTGTAGAGTCAATTATTGACAGCTGAACAGCCGAGAAAGAGCCGAAGTGGTTTAAGGCAGCTCTGACACTCCAGAGAGAGTTCTCTGCCATGCCTCCTGGGAGGAGAGGGGCTGAACGGAGAAGCCCCAGGAAGTAGAGAAAAGGCAAAGAAAAGACTCCTGAGTGCACCCCCCTCCCCTCTTCTGGCGGGGACACCCCGCGCCCCAATGCGGTTCCCTTAGAGAGGGGAGGCCTTCTTGGCTTGCCCCGCCCTTGTGCCGGGGGAATCTAACTTCTCCAAGGGAAAAAAAGAGAGGGCACCTCTCGTATCGGAGGAAGACGTTATTCAAGTCATCGTTGGCATGAAGCAGCTCCTCGGTGACTTCTTCGTTGGACACCCTGGAGATCAGCTCCACGATCCGTTGCTGCATCGCTCGGCAGGTGCGGTTCAGCTCCTGGGAGAGGAGACAGGGAGGCGGCTGAGAGCAAGGAACAGCCTCCAGGGGTGGCACCGCAAGCGGGAGCCTGGATGTTCACCTCCAGGAGGAGGCCCTGCTGCCTTTCGAGGGTAGCTTTGCTTCCAGGGGTCTCTTAGGGAGGCTGTGGCCCACATCTGGCCTCTCTGGTCAGCTGTTTTGGCTCTCTCGGCAAAAGGGGCCCAGCCTCTCCAGTAGATCCACCTCTGCCCACTGGGCCTCACATTCACCACAAGAGAGGCCAGCTCCTCCCACCGGATTTTTCGTGAGTGGTGACCTTTAACAACAGCTAGCCTGAATCCAGAGGCTTCCCTGCCAGTGGAGAGAGGAATCAGCAGAGTGGTGGACAGCCTCCAACCTCAGAGAAGGAGAAGCTGCCTGGGCTGCCTCTGCCGAGACTGGCATTCGGAGCGTGGCATCCGTCTCCGCTCAGGTCCTCCAGCTGCTGCAACAGCTTGAAGGCCCCGTGTGCCAACGTTCCGCTTTAATCTCGTCAGTTTAGAGCCAGGCGGTGGCATTTCAGCCGTTGGGACTCAGGTAGTGGAGACAGGCTGGTGCAGCATCGGGAAGTTGCCTTGTGCACCAGGGCTCGGTGGCTTCTATTGTTCGGCCCTCTTTCTAAGAGGCCACAACCAACCACACATTTATCTTGGTTTCTTCGATGCAAGTCACTAAAGGGGCACCTGCAGATCACGACTTGCTCTCCGTTATCCCGGGAGGCCGGGCAGAGAATAACGGACTGAAATCCCAGGAAGAGAGGCCAAATTAGTCCAAGACTGGACTACTGTAATGCGCTCTACATGGGGCTGCCCCTGAAAAGCGTTCGGAGACTGCAACTAGTCCAGAACGCAGCCGCGCGAGCGATACTGGGTGTACCAAGATACACCCACATTACACCTATCCTCCGCGAGCTACACTGGCTCCCTATTGGTATATTAAGCCAAACAGTCCCTTCCTATTAAAATAATAAAATAATAAAATAATAAAATAATAAAATAATAAAATAATAAAATAATAAAATAATAAAATAATAAAATAATAAAATAAT